ACAACCCTCAGTCCGCTGGGCAGTTAAACCCGACGGGGGCTCAGATGACCCTAACGAGATGTGCGAGAAGCCGGGTGTGACGGGCGGGGGGAGAAAATGGACGCAGAGGGCGGAAGTGGCCTTCTGACCGGGTTACTCACACCTACTGCTTTGCACCCAGGCTCCCCGTCGCGGTCGCCCAGAGGCCTGGCGAAGCCGTGGGCGGGTGGCCTAGTTACAGCCTGAGTGTGGCCAGTCGGTAGCCCATTTTCTCTTTACGAGGCAGGTCCACTAACAACTTAAACCATCACCATCATCATTAATACCTCGAAGGCAACGCCACCCAGAAATGCTGAGCGGGGCGGAGGGGCAGGGATGGGCGGGGCCGGCCGTACCTTTAAATCCCTGTGGCCAGGGCACCGGCTCCCCCGTCCGCAGGCAGCTCTGGAGTGTTCTCCGCCCGCCCCGTCTCGCACTCGCACCCGGCGTCTGCTATTCACTCTACATTTAACATCCGTCCACCCGCCTGGGAGATTCCGGCCGGCGCCATGACCAGTGACGAGCTGTCCGCCCTGGTGGTGGACAACGGGTCGGGGGTGTGCAAGGCGGGCTTTGGTGGTGACGACGCCCCCCGGGCTGTGTTCCCCTCCATGGTCGGGCGGCCCCGGCACCAGGGCGTCATGGTGGGCATGGGGCAGAAGGACTGCTACGTGGGCGACGAGGCCCAGAGCAAGCGCGGCATCCTGACCCTGAAGTACCCCATCGAGCACGGCGTGGTCACCAGCTGGGACGACATGGAGAAGGTCTGGCACCACACCTTCTACAACGAGCTGCGCGTGGCCCCCGAGGAGCACCCGGTGCTGCTGACCGAGGCCCCCCTGAACCCCAAGATCAACCGGGAAAAGATGACCCAGATCATGTTCGAGGCCTTCAACACCCCGGCCATGTACGTGGCCATCCAGGCGGTGCTGTCCCTCTACGCCTCCGGCCGGACCACGGGCATCGTGATGGATTCTGGGGATGGCGTCACCCACACGGTGCCCATCTACGAGGGCTACGCCCTGCCCCACGCCATCCTGCGTCTGGACCTGGCTGGCCGGGACCTGACCGACTACCTCATGAAGATCCTCACGGAGCGGGGCTACAGCTTCACCACCACGGCCGAGCGGGAGATCGTCCGGGACGTCAAGGAGAAGCTGTGCTACGTGGCCCTGGACTTCGAGCAGGAGATGGCCAGCGCGGCCGCGTCTTCCTCTCTGGACAGGAGCTACGAGCTTCCCGACGGGCAGGTGATCACCATCGGGAACGAGCGCTTTCGGTGCCCCGAAGCCATGTTCCAGCCCTCGCTCCTGGGCATCGAGTCCAGGGGCATCCACGAGACGGCCTTCAACTCCATCATGAGGTGCGACGTGGACATCCGCAAGGACCTGTACGCCAACACCGTGCTCTCCGGGGGCAGCACCATGTACCCGGGCATCGCCGACCGGATGCAGAAGGAGGTGCTGGGCCTGGCCCCCGGCACCATGAAGATCAAGATCATCGCCCCGCCGGAGCGCAAGTACTCCGTGTGGATCGGCGGCTCCATCCTGGCCTCGCTGTCCACCTTCCAGCAGATGTGGATCACCAAGCAGGAGTACGACGAGGCCGGCCCGTCCATCGTCCACCGCAAATGCTTCTAGACCCCGCGTCCCCACAGCGCGCCACTTCTCCTCAGGACGACACCTCTGCCCGACAGGCAGGCGGCGGACCTCGAGCCACCGCGCAGCAACTTTCTCTCCAGCAACTTTGTTGCAGCCGCCGCGAACCGACACAGTGTTTATAACGTGTACATACATTAACTTATTTACCTCATTTTGTTATTTTTAAAACAAAGCCCTGTGGAAGGAAAAGGAAAACTTGAAGCATTAAACTCAGCCATTCTGTTATGCTGCGTAAAGTCGTTTGTTGCGTTTATTTGCCGGGGTGGGGAGCGGCGGGGGACAGGGGACCAAGAGGGACCCCTTTTCTTATGTCGCTTTCCACAATGCTAAGTGCGCTCCTTACAAGCCCGTAGTTCAGTCTTCCCGTGGTCACGGTTTCCCCTCTGGATCCCAGCCATTCCCCAAACTGGCAGGTGC